GGGGGGCCCTTTTGGAGACAGGGTCTCGCTATGCAGTTCAGGCTGGCCATGAGCTCGCTTGTAGCCCAGACTGGTCTCAAACTAGCAACAAACCTCCTGCCTCAGCCTCTCGAGTGCTAGGATTACAGGTGTGCGCCACCACGCCCAGCTCCCTATCCTTTTAAAAATATTTAGAGTCAGGGTCTCACTAAACTGCCCAGGCTGGCTTAAACTTTCAATTCTCCTGCCTCAGCCTCCCTAGAATGCTGGAATTACAGGTGTGCAGCACCACGCCCAACCTCTTACAAATCTCATAATGACATTTGCCACAGCACTTACTGCAACGATTACTTGTCAATCATTCTCACTAGTCTGTGAGTTCTTTAAAATGAAAAACCGATTCTTACTAATCGTTACATTCCCAGTGACTAATGAAATACCTGGCAACCAGAAGAAACTCAAATATCTATTAAATACGTCTACAGGGAAGAGAAGCAGCAGACACCAGTCAATAGAGTGCTTCCTAAGCAGGAAACCAAGAAGGTCTGGTCCAACAGTGATGGGAGAGATTGGGGAAATGAATCAAGACATTTCAACACATTAACTACTAAGGCACAAAGGGGCATGAGATGTTCAAGGAACAAATTATAAGCTGTTTGTTTTTAAGCTATGTTTCCAACAGAACAATGCCTGACTTCATAGGCGAGCTCAGTCCATCTTACCTAATGAAAGAACTTAAGTATTTGTCTCAGCCAAGGAGACAACAGGGAACCCTTAAAAGGTCTAGCAAGGACCCACTGCAATCAGAGCTGGGTTTAAGAAACAATTATAATGGCACTGTGGAATGCAGTACTAAGACTATATTTCATGAACTAAGCAGAAAAGGACAGACAGAAAAAAGGACAGGACCATAAGCTCTTTCACCTACCTTGAATATACGAAAGAAAAAAGGAAGTGTGTTGAAATGATACTGGCTTGGCTGGACATGGCATATACCTGTAAAATCCCAGTACTTGAAAGGCTGAGGAAGGAGACTATTGCAAGTTCAAGGCCAGTCTGGACTATATATAGTGAGACCCTGTCTTAAAAACCAAACCGAACCAAACCAAACCAAACAACACTGGCTTATAGATTAAATATTTGTGCTAGGGCTGGGTATGGTGGCACGCGCCTGTAATCCCAGCACTCGGGGGGCTGAGGCAGGAGGATCGCTGCGAGTTTAAGACCAGCCTGGGCTACAAAGTGAGCTCAAGGCCAGCCTGAACCACACCGTGAGACCCTGTCACAAAAAGACAAATAAATAAATAAATAAAAATTTAAAAAAGTATTTGTGCTAGGTAGGAGAAATAGGGTGTTGAGGACATACAGAAGCAAAGTAAAGTTACTTATTCCAAATCAAGAAAGCGGGGCTGGGGATTTAGCTCAGCGGCAAAGCGCCTGCCTGGCAAGCGCAAGGTCGTGAGTTCGGTTCCTGGTACCGGAGAAAAACCAAAACCAACAACAAAAAAAAAAAAACCAAATCAAGAAAGCTTAGAAAGTTGGCGTGGTGGCACACACTTGTAATCCCACTGCTCAGGGAGGAATGCCACAAGCTGGAGGCCAGCCTGGATACATAGTGAGTTTAAAACCAGCCTGAACTACATAGCAAGACCCTGTCTCAAGAAAGTTAAAAAAAAAGAAGAGACCTGAGAAACACTGAGACACTAAACAACAAAAATCTAACACTGAACTACAACACTCTGATTTTATATAAGAACGAATCCTAGTAGCCTGGTAGTGCCCTTAATGTAAGCACAAATCTGTAAAGACAAAAAATGTGATACAACACATTCTGGTCATCTATTAGATTTAGAGAGTAAGAAAGAATAAAAGTACGAAGTTAAGGTGGGGAACCTAGACGTATTATAAGTATGTTAATGAAGAAAGGTATCATTATTAGCGCAGGATGCCGATTTGAGAGTGCAGCTCTGATTGTGCTTAAGTTGGCACCTGTGGGGTATCCAGTTGAAATGAGGCCCAGAAAGAAGTCAGGGCCTAAGAAAAGCTTTGCAAGTCATGAGCCACACGGATCTAAGTAGAAACCACTGGGAAAGAGGTCACCTGGAGAGCAACTATAAGGGGACAGCCACCGGCAACACCTTGGAGATTACCTAAATTGCAGGGAAGGATGGGTAAGAGATAGTGGAACAGATTCCTAAAGCACACTTGAAAAAAGTAGTGTAAAAAAGAGGTGGGGAATAGAGGTACTGACGATGCAGTAAACTCTGGCACAGGATAATGAGCAGCATTAACTCATTTAACTATGGCCTAGGGCAGTGGTGGCAAACCTATGGCATGAGCACTGCAGCAGGCTGTTATCACTGAAAGCTTACAAAGTTTGCTGTCACTGTTCTGTGCGATGCATACTTTAACTACCCCCATTTCACAGATGAAGAAACTCAACAGCAGGTGCGGCAGCTTGCTAAAATTACACATAAACAATGAGTCAGAATTTTAACCTAGGCATTACCTCCACAGGGAAGAAAGTGGCCACCAGTATTAAATGTGACAGAGTGGTAAAATTTAAGGTCCTCAAACTTGGCAATCACAAAGTCTGTTGTAATTGGGCGTGGTAACACACTCTTGTAATCCTGGCACTCTGGGAAGCTGAGGGAGGAGATCAAAAGTTCAAACCCAGTCTGGGAAGCTTAGTGGTTTAGTGAGACACTGTCTCAAAATAAAAAAATTTTTAAAAAGGGCTGAAAAATGAAAGGCCTTGTATTCAATCTCCAATATAGGAGGTGGGGTCACTTGTAAGGGCACAAATCAGAATGAAAGTTAATGGATTAAAAGTTAATGGAAAGTGAATTGAATTGATAACCCACAGGATAGAAGAAAAATATTATAAATCAGTAAAAAGACAACCCAGTTTTAAAAAAGGATCTGAATAGTTTTCCAAAGATATACAAATGGCTAACAAGAACATGATGAAAAGATGCTCAGCATCATTAACCAGAGAAATGCAAATCAAAGCTACAATAAGACACATTTCACACCCACAGGGACAGCTCCAATTAAAAAGCTGGTAACAATAAACATTGGCCAGGGTGTTGAGAAACCACAAATTTCACATACTGCTGGAGGAAAAGGCAAAAAATGGCAAAGAGCTTTGGAAAAGTTAAATATAGAAATAACTATCAAATGAAACAAGACAAATGAAAGCTTATTCCCACCCAGAAATTTACGTATGAACATTTATAGCAGGATTATTTATAACAACCCCTAAATGGAAACAACCCAAATGTCCTTTAAGTGATGAATGGGTATGTGATATATCCATACAATCCACTATTGGATTGGCAATAAAAAAAAAATGCACTGATACATGCTATAACATATATAAATCTTAAAAACATGTAATTGAGACAAGGTGATCTCAGAGGCCCACAGACTGCATGGTTCTTTTCACATGAAAGGTCTGACCAGGCAAGTGAATAGATACAGAAAGCAGACTTAGTGGGAGCCCAGGCTCAGTGTGGAAGGGCATCGGCGATTTGGGAGGTGACTGTGCAGGACTTTCGTATTTCTGTTTAGGGCAATGAATAATACTCTAAAACTGACTCTGAGTACACTTGAAGATTTGAGTTGTACACTTTAAACAGGTGAACAGTAAGATGGCACATAAACTATGTCTCAATATAGCTGTTAAAACATCAACGGGAAAAGACAGCGAAGGAAAATACAGCAGAAGAAACACCCAAGTGGAGTGGTAAAGTCACAGGAAGATTTCTGAAGGTGGGAAAGGTATGAATATGTAGTGATTTAAGACAAATCAGTGAAAACACAGAGCCTGATAGAAAAAAGACTCCACAGATTAGGCAAAGTCCTAGGAGGATGAATAGAAAGAAAAAGTAAATATGATGACATCATTGAAAAAAAGGAAGGAAAAAGATACAGATAACTGATGGTAAAGAGTTTATACCTGACGGATCTTTCCACTGATGTTTAAAAAGTCTTCAAATCTAGTAAGAGGTAGAGGAAGAAGTCCATAAAAGTAACAAAAATTAGAAAAACTGCTGACACAAGTGGGGAAAAAACAAATAACCTTATCAAGTAGAACTGAGCAATGAGAATAGAGGCATGTTTCAGTGGAGCCAACATGCATGATAAAACCACATTCTCGGCTGGACCGGTCAGTCCAGAGCTCGTAAACTGAGGCAGCACTGGGCTTTCACAAGTTCAAGAAAGCAAAGTGCCTGTGAAAAGGCCTGATCATAAGATCCTATTCAGAAGGGAAGGTAATCATACCAAAGGAAGATCGACATTTCAAAGAACTGGATGAAGATGGAAACTGAAGAATTAAAGCAGGAGTCTTGACTCATTTATCTGAAAGAATAGATTAATGACCAAAATAGAGTTCAGAGGGAGGCTAAAGGTAAAAGAATTACTCCAAAATAAAAGGTTTACATCACAACAGTTTCTTAGAACAATTTACTTTTAAGAGGAATACAGAAAATCCCAGAGAACTTCAGTGAGTTTAGTCATAAGGCACTAAACAAAGACTAGAAATGACTGAAATGCAGGCCATTCTCCTATCGCGTAGACACTCTGAATACCTGGGGTTGACATGATGGCAGGAAATACAAATGGGGATGTTTCCTGAGATTCAGTAATACCAGTACTGGTTCAAACTCGGGGTCCATTTCAGTTGACAGTGGGGAAATATAATTCAGGAACAGAATGAATGACGGGAGGAGCCGATCTGAGATCAAACATTTGCCCTGGTAATCCACATGGAGATAATCAAGAGTTGGACGTAGAGTGACAAAAGAACCTTAAAATATTCTAATGCTGCAAAACTTTGTGCTTCAAAATCCTCTCAGTTATCTGGCAATGCAGATGATAGGACATATAAATTTATCATGGTTTTTAATTTTAAACATTAAGATCTTTGGTTATTGGTGAGGTTCTTTTTATGTTACAGAATATGAAATACTGAAGTGTGATTAGGTCTCTTTTAAGGGGCTAGATATTTGCCTTACCTTTACTACCTTGTAGTCACACAAGTATTCCACCTCATAATTGTTTAGATTCCTTTTGGTGATTCCAATCGATTTACATGTGAGCTTTTCTTTTCTACATAATTCCTGAAGAGTATCAAGTGAAACTAGGCAAGGCACACACCAAGCTACAATAAGAAAATACAATTCTTTACTAATGAAACAGCTACTCAATTAAAACAAAAAAGAGAAATTTAAACCTCTATATCCCCAACCCTTCAACTGGCAATTTTATAGCCTAAAAGGCCATAGCAAGAGACCAATTTAGGTTTAAGAAAAATTAAGCATTAAAGAGCTATTCTGGTAAATTGACTTTTTAAGATTTTCTCTACGGTTTCTATCCTATCATGTTTAACTGACACAAGTTAATGTTTACTAAGAACGGTAAGCAAAATATTTCATGTCTGTAAGCTTTCTGAAGATTACATATAGACCCAAAGGTCAGCAGTGGTAATGGTCTGATTTTTCCATTACTCTATATCCCATATAGAACGTAACTACTGTTGTAATAGAACACAGATCTTTAGGATATACTAGGTATATTTTAAAAGAATCATAATTTGTAATACGTAACTTTTTCATTCTTTTTTTAACAGTAAGCACAAAAATCTAACTGAAATATAGTTCTATAATAACAAACTCCTATACCCTACTTTTCTCACTTTGCAATCTCGCACGAATAAACCTAAGAATTGTTATATACAAATGGACAGTCTCCGATAGATGTTTGTACTATTCATTTACTGTATTACTTTTAACGCTGAGTTACAAAGTATTCAAGTTACATATCCATATACCACATTGGAGTGTCAGGCAAACTCATAATTAAACTTACAGAAGCCTGAAACTACCTGGATTGCGAATTTTACCTTCACATTTCTGTAAACTGTACGCTACCACACTGAATTTAAGATACAAGTACACAAGCTGGTGTTTGCAAAGTGCAGTAACCTGGTTTTTATGGCTAGTGCCCTGGGAAGCACCAGGTCAAGAGCTTTGGTGGGCGACCTAACCGAGAGCTCAGGGAGGTCTTAATCTTGCTAGGGCTCAGGTTCACCGGAACAACGTGCGGATTGGAGAAAATTGTGATTAGCAAACAAAATTTATCATTAATTCGAGCTCTCCGATGTATGGCAATAATCCTTTTATATTCTGGGGTAATTTCCAAGGAAGAGAGAATACAGCTGCTCTAACTTTACTACTAGATCCCTTCCTTACCCTCCCGGAGTCACACAGGGACCTCATTGTTTAGAGAGCTTCAAGCACAACTTCCACTACCCTCCTCGCTGCAAGCGACTCAAAAGTTTTTTTCCTCAAAAAATTCTGCAGGGAAACGTTGACCGCTTCAGAGTGGTAGCTGGCGGGAGAGAACCGATTTCACAAATTTTATCTAAAAATCTCAAGGATGTTCTGTGCAAAGTGAACCTCGTTACGCAGATCACGTACAAAGGAGAGCCCCCTCGGGTACCTACCTACCCAAGTGTGTCTGATGTTTCTAAAAATTTATGGCTAGAGATTTAAAAAAAAAAAAAATGGTAAACACTTGGTGGAAAGAACCCGACCGCCGGTAGCACTGAAGAAAAGGGTTTCGTCGGCCGGATTAGCTACCGCCTCGCCGCCGGAACCCCCTCCGCGCTCGCCCGCCCGCCACCCCGAACGGAAGCGGGGTGCGGGGTAAGGAGGCCACAGCGCGCGGGGGCG